GTTTATATATGAGCAGTGACTATTTCCTTCGTTTGACTCATTATAGTTTATAAAAGGAGTCTTCTCTAGATAATTTTTTAAAAAAAATCATTGACGGTAAGTGTTCCCTGTGTGAACAATTAGTTCTTTAAGGCAAGTTTTTTCATCAAATTATCTGCTTATGTCAGAGCAGATGGTTCCCATCCTGAGGCTCCTTTTGCTTCTCAAGGAAGACTACAAATGCAGGAAGGAACAGATCTCTCTTGGAAAGAGACCTGGAAGGCGTGGAACACAGGGGAAGCCTGGCATCCCCCACCCAGCCTAGTCTATAGAGCCTGATGCAAAGACTATTTCAGGAGGGTCCCAGATAGTAATGTGTTGATAATTAATTAATTTTGTATGCATGAATGTATGTGGTCTCTCTCTCTCTCTCTCTCTCTCTCTCTCTCTCTCTCTCTCTCTCTCTCTCTCTCTCTCTGTGTGTGTGTCTGGTATTTGTTTGTGTGGAGGGTGAGTGGTGGGAGGCCAGGGAAGGATATCAGGTGAGTTCTGCTTTACTACTCTGCTGTATTCTTTTGAGAAAGGATCTCTTACTGGCCTCGAGCTTGTGTTTTGGTTAGGTTGGGTAGCCAGCAAGTCCCAGTGATCTACCCCCATACCCCTGGGCTGTTGTTACAGGTTCACAGCCATGCCTAATGTTTTTACATGGAAGCTTGGGATGCAAATACAAGTCCTCATGTGCACAGTGAGCTCACTTGCTCACTGGATCATTTCACCAGCACCCTGTGTGTTGATTAAGGAGATTTAGTTGGAGTGATGCGAGACACTACTTACTTCACTCTAATTGTCTCAAAAGCAAGTTTCCTCATGGTGAATGTTGGTCATGAGCTTCAGACATGTATCCACAAGAAGAGATTTCAAAACCTGCCTAAAGTTTGGAAGTCCCAGCCAAGAGACTAATAGTAAATAATAAAACACATATCTCAGGATCCTACCCAAGACTTCATTAAACTAAAAAAAAATTTTTTTTTCTAAAAATCCTGTGGATAATAATTTAAAAATTCTCCCCCCCCCCCCCGCCCCGCAAGGGAGTCCATGCCACAGGTTAAATATTTAGGGCGTTATATATTTGTTATATAACAATTTGTTGTATGGAGTGAAGCAAGCCAAAATAAACATTTGGCAGGGGTCCTGACTTTGGCTAAGCCATTCTCCCAATCTCCCCTTAGAGATGGTTGATTTTGTAAAGTTTGGGGAATTTCCAAGAAGGTCCACATGTCTATGTTAAAAATCGCACATGGTTAGTTTGCCGTTACTGCCTGGATAACCAGGGCTTGGTGAGTAGCCCTGTGATCGCACCAGCATTTCCATGTTTAATAGTTCTGGAGCAGAAAGAGAGCAGCTACCTCTGAACCCACAGAGAAGTGACTTTCTCGAGTGAGTGAGTGAGTCGTTGATTTATAATGGAGTGAAGTGTATGATGTTGGTCATTTTAAAAGAGCAGCATTGACTATTTGTTTCTGATTATTAGCAATGAGGAAAATTCTCTTTTTACTCTTATAGTTCATGTTCTGTTTGTTTGGTTTTGTTTTGTTTTGTTTGTTTGTTTTTGTATTTCAGAAGTCCTTGATAAGTAGTCCACCCAAGAAAAATATGATTTTTAGTTTTATTTTAGAATTAAGGATTTTTCTTGAATTATTTTTGACAGGCTAATCTACAAAACAGGGTTTTTTTCCTTCTTTGGAGTAATTCCAGACGGAGGGAGGCAGGTCAAGGGTGATAGGCCACACTGGGAGAGAGATCTTTTAGTAAGATGAATGATAAACTTGATGCCACAGGGACTGAGTTTCCATGGGGATGTATAGGGCTTGTTTTGCCCTGGTCAGTTTTAAACAGAGTCTGGCAGGCTCTAAGTAGGAGAGAAGGACCTCCAACTAAATCAACAGCAAATGCCTATTCCTAGAATGAGCATTGGTAAATGTAATTCACTCTCTGTTCTTGAGCTCATTTATGGAGTGTGATTCCTGCTTTGTTAGTAGATTGTACTAAGTATTAAATTGATCGCAGAGTGCTGATGTGGAAGTTTAACCCATTCCTCTTTTCCTTTTTAGTAAGATATTTTATCTCAGTTATTGTGATTATGTTCATAACAATGTTATTGGGCTTTCTTTTTTTTTTTTTTTTTTTTTTTTTTTTGGTTAAAGGGGTTTCTCTTGGGAAGCAGCCATTCTTCCCACAAGTGTTGAATGCCTGCAAAGGGCAAAGTGACCATTCTCATCACACTAATCGGCTCTCATTTCATTCTTTTATCCTTGGATCTCTGTAGTTCCGTGGCTTTAACAATAGACAATGGTGAAATGGGAAGTATTAACCCATTAGAAACAAATAGCCACAGATTATTCTGGAAGGGACAAAATATATAAATTCTATTATATCATAAGGTTACAATTTATTCCCAGAGAAAAAGCATTCCAGTTGAAGAACCCTGTACTTGCCAGTTGGTTTGAACTAAATTGAGACCAGTTGCAACGTCCTTTTGAATATGACGTGGCTGAACCTTCATCTGGCCAACTTAACACATTTTTATTTTAGGAACAAGCTGAGCAACTTGTCTCTGTTAGTGTGCCGTTAGATCAACTGCCCTTAAGAAAGTAATAGCTAAAAAGATAGAGTTGGTAAAAAGGAGGAGCAAATAGCACTATGAAAGCCAAGTCCATCATCATAGCTACTTTGCAACACAGAACATTTTCCCCCAGTCAATCCATGTTCACCTATGTATTTTTTCTATTTTAAGTGTTATTATTTTACATGTGTTATGGCAGTCCAATCTACATAAATAGACCCGAGGCAGCATCACTCTGGACCTGACTTCTCATAGCCTCGTATGCAAACTGGAGATCTTTATATTATAATCTCTAATATATACTTAGATAGTGAACTGCCATCAAAGTTATTGTGTTTCCCTAAATATCTATGCATTTTTAATCATTTCTTTTTGAGAATATCTACCTTGGGCATATTGACAACAAGAGAACTCTCATTATCAGGTGTCATACAGACAGCTAGAGTGAAGGTCACAGCTCTCCAGTGGCCTTGCTATTTAAGGTCAGATGAGTATTTCAGGATTAAAAATGATTATTTCTTTCCTTTAGCATTTTTTTTTTTGGTTTTTCCAGACAGGGTTTTTCTGCGTAGCTTTGCACCTTTCCTGGATCTCGCTCTGTAGACCAGGCTGGCCTCGAACTCACAGAGATCCGCCTGCCTCTGCCTCCCAAGTGCTGGGATTAAAGGCGTGCACCACCACCATCCGGCTAGCATATATATATTTTTTAAATGGTATAAAATCAAAATTGCCTAGGGAATTTACTAAATCAGATATTTTCCAAGTACTGATGCTTTGCAATTAAAGAAGACAAAGTACAAATCAGAGCCTAAATTTGGATGACCCATCATGCAATCCAGACTTCAAATGAAGACTTCTCTGCATTCTACTGAATCTTTTTTCACATACTGCGTTTTTTTTTTTTCTTCATGTTGGTTATGTGTATGAGAGGTGTGGTAGTAGCAATTTGATAGACTATAAAATAAGCTCTCTCTGTACTCAAGGCGTTTATCATGCGGGAAACAAGTCTGACCAGTGCTTCACCCTGGAGAACTCACTTGGGGTGCTGCTTTTAGGGAGAGACAGTGAAATCTGTTGTTTGTGTTAAGGTGCCACCTTATAACATCTGGGAGGGAAGCGCTCCATGGAAAATTAAAGGAGGATTAAAGTCACCATCCCTCCAGGTGTTCTGTGGCACTGAAGCAAAGGGGAGATGTAGCAACTTATATTGTACCTCCAAAGCCATAGCAACTGAACTGGAGTGAAGGGCAAGTGAATTTCAGCCCTCTGCCCTCCACTGACAGGATTGACAAGAATGCATTGACTAACACTTTCTTTCCGTTTCATTTATAGCAACTCCCCTGTTCTTGGTGGGGAGTAGGTGATGACTGAAAAGGATTTTGAGAGCTCTATTAACTCTTTCTTGGAACATTTCATGTAGCCTTTTTAAAGTATCTGGGATATCCAGAACCAAATGACAGTCACTGGTCCTCCATATACTGAGTACCTGCTTCCACCCAGTCACCACAGTCATTAGAATAAACACTCCTCAAGTATAATAAACAATAGCTCATGCCCCCAAATGGGTAAGAGTTGGTAATGTTTATGAGTGATTTCTTCTCTGAGGAGGGAGCAGCTTTATGTATAAATGAAAAAATGACTGTGAGGTTATATATTTGTGAGCAGTATTGGTGCAATTAGGCCCCTATATAATTGAAGCTGTCTGTTCTCTGAAATGAAATATTGAACCAAAGCCCTCATTGCACATTGAAAGAAATGCAACACAGGGATGGATCTGTGTTTTTAATATCGCTGATGCTATTGGCTTAGACACGTTCCATTTGTTGGGTCTGTTTTGCAAGCCTAAATTTGAGATCAGAGACATTCTTCATATAAATGTCTCAAGAATTGCAGTCACACATCCATCACCTTTTTGCTTTTGGATTACAAAGATAACCTTAAGACAGGAGCCTTCTACTGGGCAAGGTGATACATACACAGAAAGGGTGAGCCTCTGTAGTGATGAAATCAGCCAGTGCCCAAGAGGAAAGTAATAGGCAGAAAGGGTAGAGCTGATGAAAAAATTGATTCTTTTCCAAAACGTGATATGTTTTTTATGAAGCAGGCATCAGCTGAAAGAGAAATATTTTTTTTTTCAACTAAAAAGAGACTGACAGTGAGGGAAGGAAAGGTATGCAAGGGACAGGGGATAAGCATGTGTCTTATTCCCTCACCATCACATGTGAAGAGGAAGTTGAGAAGTACTCCATCTGGGGTTACTTCAGATGTTGACCTGAGACTGTTAGAATTAAACATTTTAAGGCTAATAGTGGGCTTTACTTTTCCTTTCTCCAAAGCACGTATAGCCTCCACACATCACTGTCATTTCCATTGTAAACCGTGTGTTGTTTGTTTTCAGGTTTGCCAAAGATGCAGGTCATTAGGAACTACACCGGGACCCCGCCCCCAGCTCTTCACGAAGGACCACCACTGCATATCCAGGCAGGAGACACTGTGGAACTTCTGAGAGGAGACGCACACAGTGCGTTTTGGCAGGTACTACCTAGACAGATGAGAACTGTTTTGATCTAATGGATGATTGACTATTGAATTCAAGACAAAATACTTGCCTTTAAAAACTGATTGTGTACTTCAGTTTCAGAAACCTTACATGCTTCGGTATGGTTGTTGTTTATTAAACTTCCCCGTGTTGGCAAGGCCAAGATGGCCAGGAGTGTTATAACACTAAAGAAAATCTGTCAGTGCTGTGAGTCATAATTATCATTTTTATTAAAAATTCATACTTGGATGGAACATCTTCCCAAACCTAGTACCTGTGGGTATGATCTAACATGTATGGCTTTAATATATTAAGAGTTCAGTCCATGGAAGATACCTGACTGACTTGCCAGTGGCCATTTGGGGCCCTATTTGACTGTTTGCACACCCACACATGGCACCTGAAAAATCTTAGAGGCTCTCTAGGTGTTATTCATAAAATATGTGAAATGTAAGAAATAATTGATTTTGTTGGTATTTTCTGGTGATGAAATCTCTATTTGCTAATGTGCCTACCTCTGCTTTAGGTATTTTTGTTGAGAAAAATATGGTATAGCATTAAGATTTTATATAGCTGGCTAACAGAATATTGTGGTTTTTAAGAGATGGTATTTTCTATATGTGTAGAAATATTTACCAATAAAGTTGAAGAATGTGTTAACTATCCACTGTACATTGAGTATAGCAGAGGAAAGGGTTGAGGTTAAGGTAGGAAGAGTGACATGCAAGTGAAATTTGATCATGGCTAAAGGAAAAGGAGGCAGAGAAGGACCATAGGACAAAGTTGCCCACTGTGCACACGAAAGTGGCATCTATCTTATTTGTCTGTAACTGTTTCACTGATCTCTTGTCTCTTCAGAATGCTCCTAGATCTAACACTTATCCCTGCCATCATTTCAACTGCTGTAGCCAATGACTTTCCCGAAATCCCAACATTTTCCCCAAGTGTCTTTCTCCTTTCACTCATCATCCTTCCCAGAATAGAGAAAAAAATTAAATGTATCAACTCTTATATCCTTCCATCTAAACACGAAACATCTTCATTTGTCCCCACAAGGGCCCCTTACTCAAGACTCTGTTCTGTTTGAATTTTCCATCTTAAATTTTCAACTGCCTTGTCAACTGGCATCTCTTCTATAGCACATTTATATGTTCCCATTCCTCATGTTTCAAAACACACAACTCAACATTTTGTCTAGTTTGTTCTTTCAGGTTCCTTCATTCCCTCACCCTCAAAGCTAAACTCATTGGGGAAGTAGTCTGTACTCAGTTTTCATCTGCTCTTGTGCTAGTCACAGTCTAGCACCCTACAAAGTCTATGCTTAACTTGTGTCAATAGTGCCACTTAGGAAAAACAAGAGCAGCTTTGAGGTATATGATAAACCATAAATATTTGAAATGTATAATTTGATAACTTTTGATGTGTGTGTATGTGTGTGTATGTGTGAAGATCACTATGATCAAGGTAATTAATACACTCACCCATCTCAAGTGTGTCTTATGTCCATTGATGATGTTCTTCTGGCTCCTACCCTAAGGCAACCATCATCTGATTTCAGGCTATTGATATGATTGCACTTTTTAAAGAAAAAGTCATATATTTTATAACAATGTGTGTTTTCTTTTTGTGTAGATTTTTAGTATGTTGAGTGTGGGTGTGTATGGGTGTGGTATATGCACATGTGTGTATCCAGGTCTGTGGGCTACTTCATGCAAATGGAGGCCATAGGAAAACAACCAGTATCCTATTCTATTACTTTCTGCTCTAGTCTCTTGAAATGTATTTATTTTCAGTGTCATGAAAGTCCCTGACAGTATTCCAGTCTATTTCCACTAAGTAGTGACTTGTGGGTTGTTATAATGTTCTAGGTTAACAAGATGGCTCTTCTGCCTTATTTGATATTAGTGTGATACTCAACAACTGAGGGCCAGTAGTGGCTAGACTACCAGGGTGGACACTTGGGACTGGCCCTGTCAGGAACTTGGTGGAGGCTGTGGACCACAGATACCTCCTTGGGAACTTTTTAGACTTCTGTTCACCAGAGTGGTGTCAGGGTCAGCCTTTTAGCATGTTGCAGCTGCCTCCTGGGAATGCGAAAGCAGAAGCTGCCAGACCTTAAGCTTTATACCCAGAGCTGGTACCGTTACTTCTGATGCTTTGCATCGGTTTAAGCAGGGAGCTCAGATACAGAGAAGGAGACTATGCTAATTGAATACCTGGAGAGAGAGAGAGAGTTCACTATAGAACACCCGGGTAATGGTGGACCACAGACAAGACACTGTGGGGTTTGTCTGAGCAGTGCTAATAATAAACTTACTTTGTAAGCTGTCCTTGAGGATGCTAAAAGCCAGTCAATTTCTCATTCTAGAGACATCAATAGAAAAATAGTGAAGCTAAGCACAAATATTGGAGCTATTGGGGCATATAAGTGGTGCCTGAACAGTGGTGTGTTTGAGACCACAGTGAAGAGCATGGGGATGGCTCAGCAGGACTCCTAGAAGCCTGCACAGTGTGTGCCCACGGACATTTAACTCTATTGAAGAGGGGATTGTAGATATCATGCTTTCCTAACCAAGCTCTCTGTTCCCTCTTTTTCTCATGCTTTAGATACATAGCACTTAATTATACCTTTTAAATTTTTATTCACTATTTCTTTTGCAGCACAGTTGGTTTAGGTGATGCTTTGAATATTTTTCATGGTGTTTATAGATTTATATTTATTGTTTATCTTATTTCCTACAGCACACTGTTTTGAAAGTAGGACTATTTAGGTTTTGTTCCAGTTGACCTCATACTCATTTTACTAAGTTGTACTGCCTTCTATCCTTTCTAGGCAAAAAAGAAAATTGTTATTAATTGTCAGTTCCTTTTCAGTTGCCTGGATGTGTGAAGATTTTTCTGGTGTGGTGCTAAAAGGGCACTGGAAATACCCAAGAGAGTCAGAAGATAAATGGGGAGAAGCAGTGAATGACAAACTGTGTCTATGACTTTTCCTTAGTGGAATGCAGATCTAATGGTTAGGAAGAAGAGTGGTTGATGCTTAGAACAGAGAAGAACAGTTAGCACATTTGTTCCAGGTAGCAATTATGCATTGAGTGCTAGCTCTGAACTGCTCAGACGCCCTCACGCTCCAGCATGAACTCTCATTGGTTTGACACTAGGTCTCCTATTTTTAGAGGAATCTTTCATGCTTGCTGCCAACTAGTAATAGTTTATATTGTCAGACATATGTTAAAAATTCACTTAACATTTCTGGCTTATATAGAACATGTGCCAGCATTGTCTTATGAGTACCTACAAATTATTTAAGGGATATTTAGCTGGACTATTGGAAGGGAGAGTAGCATAGTGAGAAATCCTGGAGTGAAGTCATTTACCTGTGGCCAGATAGCTATATGGCTTGGATGAGGTCTTTCAATTTGCTGTGTGGCTTAATTTTAGGTGTCACATAAAGTGGGCAGACAAGAGCCATGTTCATAGTGTTCATAACACTGATTAAAATCACCTGGGAGGGCTTTATAATACCAGCATACAGCCCTGTTTCTAAAGATTAGGATACAATGGGCTTGGTTTTAACCCAGGCTTGCAGTAAGCCCCAAATAAATCTTACGTGAGCCACTGAGTAGATGATCAACTTGGTATGATTCCATGGTAATTATGGCATTATCTCCAGCTTGTCATGTGCTCATTGAATGAAAACCAACCTATTAATATTGCCAAAACCCCAAGGTGTTTCAGTGAACTCAGTATTTTTTGGCCTACAATAGAAACTAAATAAAGGCAGTACTTTCAGATTATTAGCATATAATATATTAAATTGACATATTTGTTTTCTGTATCTTAAAAAGTGATTAAAGATGCTACAATGTCTCCAAGGAGGCTGTCTTGATTAAATAAACTTTATTTTATAGACTGGATGTGTGGAAAGTTCATAGTAGACAACTTTCCAGTTTAATGCCATGTTTTATTTAAAAAAAGCTAGAGTATTTTTTACTTGTTGGTTTTCAGATATAAAGAATACTTCAGTTGATTTTTTTATAGTTCTCTGTGTGTAGGTATGTGTACAGGGTCTCCATGTACATATTTTGTTCATTTTCATACTCAAAGAAAACATATACTTTGTACCCTTCAGTATGTGACTTCTTCTAAGGGATTGTATTTTTTTTTAATTGCTTCAAGAATACAGTTTCACACACCTCTTCTGATACCTTATCCCATCTCATCTGAAATTATACATAATTAGCACCGGAGAAGCAAGTGAAGTGTTTTTCACTTCCTATGCTAGCACTTAGGAAATCAGAGCCTTCTTTGCTGAATTTTACTGGCTGTCGCCTGCCAGTGTGGTGGCCTTAAACAGGTAACTAAGGGCTTCCATTTTATTACATGAGAAGTGGGGGTGACAATGATCACTGTAAAATAAATCAGTAATATTGTAATGTAGTCACTAAACAGTATCCAACCATCCAGACAGATCTATCAGTCTGTCCATCTATTTAGTCATCCATCCAAATACATAAAAATTGCCTACAGTATTTTGTTCACTCTGTGTTTCATATTGGAAGGACCAGAAACAATACCACCAGTTTCTTATCTGAATGATCAAGACAGCTGATGCATTATTTTGAGGGTTTTTTTTTTGCTAAGAGGTTTTTGTAAATCCTATTTTGAAAAAAACACACACAGAGGTTAGCTTGTAGATTAAAGTTTGAAGTACTCACCACAAATGAATTTGCATTTGAATCTTGAAAAGGACTTTTGTACTAGTTAAGAGCTTTGGCCTATTTGTACGTTTTCAAGGAATTTTGCTTTCTGAGCTGCTTTCTCTTTCAAGCCAGTCACTGCACTCATTAATGCAGAAAGTCAGATTCTATTGTAGACTGTCATGTTTGCCATACACGCCATGCCTAGAGCATACAAATTACCCTCCAAGATGTATCAGGGACTCTCTTTCCTTGAATAGATATTAGTCTCCTCTGCATTGTTATTATCACAACAG